ACCCACACCTGTGGTTTCCAGCCAAACAAAAGACAGGCATATGAGTTGAACATTTACCTGAGGTAGATACACTCCTTGGAGAGAACAAGCATGGGAGAAAGAGGGGCTGCTTGTGCACAGGGAGACAGCTCAGGGGGCAGGAGTGCATGGAGGAATGGACACAGGGAAGAGGTAGCTATCGGGGAGGTGGGAGGGAAGATGTTGCATTGTGGTAAATTGTGGTCAATGTTATGAGACAAAGTGTGTGTAAACTGCTGTATGGAAAGTGTATTTGCTCTGTAAATTTTCACCCAAATTGCAATAAAAAGAAAAAAAAAGAATATGCATAGCAAAACATTTGCCAATTTTAACGGTTTTCACATATACAATTCACTGACATTGTTTATAACCTTCTTTTTGCAACCATTGGCCTATCCTTTTCCTACTTCTTCTACCACCATTAACATAAACTCTGTGCTCCCCAAACAGTAACTCCTCTTTTCTTCCCCCCTCCCACCCCGGTATAAACTTACTTTATAAAAATGTTCCCTTAATGTTATTGTTTTCCTTATTCTAGTCTAGTGAATCCATTTAAAATAATCCAATAAATTAGAATTCTTAATGAGGATAAGTCAAATAATTTGTACTCTTAAAATATTTTGGAGGGATCAACTTATTTGTTTTGTTTTTTATTATAGGATACAGCAGTATTTTTCTGATACGCTTAACTCCTTAGATGCTGTCATTATTGGGGTGACCCTGATGATTAATATCATTTATACTTTTTATGATTTTCAGGGACTTAATAATATCCCCAGGTAAGAAACATATGATTTACCTCTCTAAGTTTTTTGTGTCTGTTTGTTTGTTTGTTTTTGCATTTTCTGTGGCTTTTCATTCAGTATAATCTTTTACTGTTAGTGTGCCAATTCTATACCTACAAGCTGCTTGAAAATTAAACATTTAGGTAAATTTCTACATACTTTGAAATCTAAAAGAAAGTGGTATTTAGGGACCAGTGAAGGGTGGTGTAGTGCCTAAGGCATTTGACTGCTAACCAGAAGGAAAGAAAAATCTAGCCCATCAAACCCACCAGGCACTCCTCGGAAGGATGGTTGGGCAATCTACTTCTATAGTGATACCCTCTCAGAAACCAAAGGAGGGGTCGCTATGAGTCGGATCCGACTCAATGGCAGTGAGTGAAGGATGTACACAATAAGTGCCTTTAGTTGAATAAAAAAGATGAAGAAACTGAGGACTTTGCCTCTTATACTAATTGTCACTTCTTTATATTTTGAAATTCACACTAAGTTTCCATTGTGCTTCGATATATAACTAAGAGTTTTGTTTTGATCGTATGCAAAATTTGAGTTACTTCATTGATTAGCCTCTAAAAATAGAGAAAATGAAACAGTACAAGGATGGCAGTGGAGAATTTTGCTGAGGTGGAGTGTTGAAGTATAGTGCTGATAGTAAAGAAGAAATTTGAGGTGCAGTTATTTTGAGGAATCAGGGAACTAAAATGTGTGTGAAGGAATGATGACTCTGTTTTCCTTCTTCTTTCTGGGACAATGAGGAAAAGAAGAGTAAATGTGCTTTGTGATATGAATGTTGGGTGTCTCACTAGGCTTATTCCTTAGCCAAATAGCTTGCTTATTTCTGCACCTCCCCCTCCCAAGCCTTCCATTTGGACCCCAAATAAATGTGTCCTCAGGTTAAAGGCCTCTGGAGTTATTTGCAAATAATATGAGCCAGTGTGGTCTTCCCAGCATCCTCTCAGCATCCTCTGAGAGGTTGCTAGAAATCAACACCTCAGGCCCTGTCAAGACCTACTCAATCAGAATCTCGGGGTGGGACCCAGCAATCCGTGGTTTAACAAGATTTTCCAAGTGATTCTTATTTACACATGCCTAAATTAGAGAAGCACTAGTCTAAGCCATCCGTTCTCTGCTATGGTGTCTATGATGGTAGGAGAGATCCCAGCTAGCACATTTGGGAAGTATTCCAACCTGCTACCTGCTTATGTGTGTTACAGCTGTAATGAACTTCTGTTGCTGATGGGAGTAACAAAAGTGGACAGTAACTCTCTGTTTGTTTTGATGGGGAAAATATTGAGAAATACTGCTCTTAAATGGCAAGAGTTAAGTCCACAAATCCCAAGATTCTGGTTCTCCAGACCAGGGTTTCTTAACCTTGGCACTATTGACATTTTGGGCCAGATAATTCTGGACTGGCCTGTTCATTGTAGGATGTTCAGCATTATTGTTAGCTTCTACTTACTAGATGCCAGTAGCAGCATCTAGTAGTATCACTTCCCTCTCCCCAGTTTGACCACCAAAAATGTCTCCAGACATTGCCAAATACCTCTTGTGTGGGTATGTAGAGGGGGGAAATTGCTCCTGATTGAGAAATAGAGCTCTAGACTTAGCCCTTTTTGACAAAATTCTGTTTCTGAAGCAAAAATGAATCTTTTTAATTTCTTGTTAGATTGGCAGTGTTATTTCGATCTCTACGACTAATCATTCTGATGAGAGTTTTTCATTTGGCTTATCAAAAAAGGCATCTTGAAAGCCTGACAAGAAGGATGGTAAGTGGGCAAAACATGTTTGTAATTCAGAAAAATGTATTTTTGGAAATACTGGTGAGGGTATTGATATCTATTTTTATTTATTATATATTTATCTTTATTCTTGTATTGATTTATGTTTTACAAATTAATGATTGTTTTAAACTCCCAGGTTTCAGGGAACAAAAGGCGCTACAGGAGGGATGGATTTGACCTAGATCTCACTTATGTTACTGGTTTGTGCAATTTAACTCTTGATTTACTTACACTGACTTCACATTTTTCTTGTGTATAATTATGTTTTTATTTCTTGACTGTCTAAGCCATGTTATTTCTAATATTCTTCATTCATGAAGTCATTTCATTATTAAAGTTTCCCATATTCTTTACTCCTACAAGGTTTTTTTGTTTGTTTGTTTGCTTTTTATGGGTTTTTTTTTTAGATTCAGAATAGTTATTTACATTATTCTTCCGCTAGAAGGTGTTATTCTACTTAAAAGTACTCTGGTTACATGTTTTTGAAAAGGAGTGCCACCTATTCTACTACAGACATGCTGTCACTAAGCCATATGCTACGTTAATAAAGAGGAATGCTTGAAATGAAAGAATTGTGACAAAGCCTTTCTATAAATTAAATTACATGTGCCACTGTGGTAGTATGACATATTAGTAGTTTAGCTCTAGCAATGGAAAATCTCCATTGTCTCAAATCAGGCCTACTTGGTTACAGTACAGGAAAATGAATGTATATTCAATGGACTCCTTTTGAGTTTGATTTAGAATTTACTGAATTCTAGTTTGGGCAATCTACTTCCGTAGTGATACTGCCTCCACAACCCAAGGAGGGGTCGCTATGAGTTGAGTCCGACTCAACGGCACATAACAACAACAAGAAGAAGTAGTTATCTGATCAGCAGTTTGAACCTACCAGCTACCCCATGGGAGAAAGATGAGGCAGTCTGCTTCTGTAAAGATTTACAGGCTTGGAAACCCTATAGGCAGTTTTACTCTGTCCTCAAGGGTTACTATGGGTCAGAATTGACTTGATGGCAGTGGGTTTTTTTGGTTTAGTAGTTATCCTGGGCCTCAAGGATCCCAGAGATCTGCCTTCTCCTTATGACCCCAGAGAATAGGGTCACTGCTTTGTAAGTCTCAGATTTTCTGAGTTAAGAAAGCTGGAAAGCACTCTGGAGTTTCTACTGTCATGGGAGCCCAGACTTGTCCTTTAGGATAAGAAACAAATCTACCCTATAGGTAGAAGGAAGGAGCTCTGGTGGCATAGTGCCTAACAAGGCATTTGACTGCTAACCAGAAGGCTGGCAGTTCGAACCCACCAGCCACTCCTCGGAAAGAAGATTGAGCAATCTACTTCTGTAGTGATACCACTTCAGAAACCAAGGAGGGGTCACTATGAGTCAGATCTGACTCAACAGCAGTGAGTTTGGTTTTTTGGTTAGGTAGAAGGAAGAAGTCAGAACAAAATGATCAAGGTGAAGGGAAGACACAAGAGAACACAAGAGTTAAAGGCAATAAAGGTAAATATTACTACATACACAATTCTTGTAAAAACAGTAATAACAATCATCTATGAGTAGATACATACATAGACATGCAAGCTGATAGGTCTAGGAAGGTGAATGGATTATGCCCATGAATATATATAGGTTTAAAGAGGGTATTTCTACATATATATCTATATGTGCTGCAAATATAGAGGATACAGGGGGCAAAGTTATGAAAACTTCTTAGCCGTAAGCAAGCATCTTGAGGGAGTGAGTCCCTAGGCCAGGGGTTCAGGACTATAGTCTTGTGGGACCTCAACTGGCATAACATAGTCCACAAAGAAAATATTCTACATCTTACTTTAGCAACTGGGTCTTAAAAGCTTGTGAATGGCCATATAAAGTGCAACTATTCGTCTCCCCCTGTCCGGAGCAAAGAAAGTAAAAATCAAAAACACATGGAAACAATTAGTCCAAAGGACTTATGGACCATGTGAACCCCTCCATGACCCTGCAACCTCACAAGCATAAGACCAGAAAAATTAGATGGTAACTGGCTACCACTGCTAATGGCTCTGAAAGGGATCACAATAGGAGATCCCAGATAGAATGGGAGGAAAATGTGGAACAAAACTCAAAATTGTGAAAAAGAAAAGCTTACTGGTCTGATAGACATTGATGGAACCCCTGAGATGATAGCCCTTAGACACTTTTCAGACCTGGAACTGAACTAACTCCCATGACTTAATTCTCAGCAAAACAATAAAACCAAAACCAAACCCACTGCCATAGAGTTGTATCCAACTCATAGCGAC